GGGAAGGGAAGGGAAGGGAAGGGAAGGGAAGGGAAGGGAAGGGAAGGGAAGGGAAGGGAAGGGAAGGGAAGGGAAAGGGAAGGGAAGGGAAGGGAAGGGAAGGGAAGGGAAGGGAAGGGAAGGGAAGGGAAGGGAAGGGAAGGAAAGGAAAGGAAAGGAAAGGAAAGATACATCTCCTTAATTTGGAATATCATTTCAGAGACTTTGCTGTATTCTTTTTGTTTTGTTTTGTTTTGTTTTTTATTACTTTATTTTTATCGAGCTCTACATTTTTCTCTGCTTCCCTCCTCCTTCAGCCCTTCCCCAAGATCCTCATGCTCCCAATTTACTCAGGAGATCTTGTATTTTTCTACTTTCTACTTCCCATGTAGATTAGATCTATGTAAATCTCTTTTAGTGTCCTCCTTGTTGTCTAAGTTCTCTGGGATTGTGGTTTGTAGGCTGGCTTTCTCTGCTTTATGTTTAAAAACCACCTATGAGTGAGTACATGTGATAATTGTCTTTCTGTGTCTGGGTTATCTCATTCAAAATAATGTTTTCTATCTCCATCCATTTTCCTGCAAAATTCAAGCTGTCATCATTTTTTTCTGCTGTGTAGTACTCCACTGTGTAAATGTACCACATTTTCCTCATCCATTCTTTGATCGAGAGGCATTTAGGTTGTTTCCAGGTTCAGGCTATGACAAGCAAAGATGCTATGAACATAGTTGAGCACATGTCCTTGTGGCATGATTGAGCATCCTTTGGATATATACTCAGAAGTGGTATTACTGGGTCTTGAGGAAGGTTGTTTCCTAATTTTCTGAGAAATCACCAGACTGACATCCAAAGGGGTTGTACCAGCTTACATTCCCACCAGCAATGCTGGAGTGTTCCCTTTACCCCACAACCTCTCCAGCATAAGTTGTTATCAGTGTTTTTGATCTTGGCCACTCTTACAGGTGTAAGATGAATCTCAGAGTTGTTTTGATTTGCATTTCTCTGATGACTAAGGTTGTTGAACATTTCCTTAAATGTCTTTCAGCCATTTTAGGTTTCTCTGTTGAGAGTTCTCTGTCTAGGTCTGTCTCCATTTTTTTTATTGGATTACTTGTTCTTTTGATGACCAATTTCTTGAGTTCTTTGTATATTTCGGAGATCAGATCTCCATCTGATGTTGGGTTGGTGAAGATCTTTTTCCATTCTGTAGGCTGTTGTTTTGTCTTGCTGTAAAACACATACTTTGTTTTACAGAAGCTGTATTTTTAAATGTCATGAAAGTCTGTGCCTTGCTCAGGACACAGAACTACAGGACTGCATAGTATTTCACAAGTAGTGAGAAAAGGAGAGAGTGTTAACGTGGATTTGCCAGTGCCAAAGAACCACTCTGTCAGCAGCAATCCTCTTTCTTCATTCAGAACAAGATCAAAAACATCACTGCATCAGCACAAGTATTTCTGACTGTTTTCTTAACCCAACCCACCCTGTGTGTATGTGGGGGGGTGCACCCCGTGTGTGTTTTTAAAAGTTTAGTAACTTGTATGTAGTCCATTCACATATAAATAGCCACCAGAAAAGCTGTGACGCAGAACAGACAGATGTGGCGATTCAAATTCTAAACAAGGCCTCATGGGTTGGAAGATGAAAATGTTCCTTAAATTCTCAGCCTCTGTGGCAGGGGTGGCTATCCAGCTGACAGATCTGTTCCTGAGTTGATTTCCAGCTCCTTTCTCCTCAGAGGGCTGAAGAGAACTTCGGAAGGATGCTGGGAGTCATAGCACAACGACGCTCAGCTCTCACTCGCGGATCCTGCACATTTGTATTCTCGAATGATCTGAAATGTCTAGTAGATCTTTTGTAGGGCTCAAAAGCATCAGAGCTGACACCAATTGGCTGGAAAGAATCACTGCCTCCAGTGAGCTCCCAGCACTGCTTCTCTCGCTGGCCCATCTGCGTGAAGTCTTTGAATAGGTTCTATAAATGATGAGGATGATTATGCTGATGATAGTGGTCTGGCCTGCTTTCTCAATATTAAGTTTTAATGTTTTCTGTGCTTGAATCTAGAAAAGTTTCTCAATGATTGATTAGAGCTGCTCGCCGGAGACTTCGGAACATTACTTTAAAAAGCCCTGTGTTGACAAAATAATTTATTACTAAAACTCTGGAGATTACTCCTGAAACACAATCAGTGCCATGTGATTCTGAGAGCTGTAGTCAGTGGACGTTAGTGAAGTGAAGAGGGGGAATTAAGGCCATTGTCTTAATGTTTAAAGTCTGTTCCTGTCCAGGAGCCAGAAAGGCTATGTAACCAAGAGCCGTGGTAAAATATTTGAAATGCTCTGCAGTTTTCCTTTCATTTCTGCTACAATACCTGAGAGGCAGGGCTTCTACGAAGGGAAGAAAATGATCCCCCCACTTTCTTAGTGCAGATTGAAACAATTTATTTCAAATAACTGGAAAGATAACATGAAAAATCTGTTTATATAAATGATTAACCACGACGATTATTGTAATAATAGAGAAAAGGGAAACTTAGTCAATCAAGAGACCTTCCTTCAAGATAGGTTCTCATATTTTTTTCTGGGAATTTGAATTACCTGGGTAATTATTACTGAATTCTACCATTCGGCCTAAATAGGCAAGGCCTATTTCCAACAGTAAATTCAGTTAATGTAGCAGATGGCACAGGGCTACCAGTCCCATCAAGTTATTGTTTTCTTGTATCAATAATAATAGAGCAATTCCATTATGTTTCATGGTGTTTTTAGTTCCAGGTACTCAGCAAATATGAATTCATCATTGCAGTCTTCCTACCGAAGTGGAAAAAAATTTTAATAAACAAGATATAACAAAAAATTGAGATTAATTTATTTAAAAGTATCCATGTAGCCCACGCTGCGGAATTAAAACTATTACATGTTTATATTAATTATGTATAAAAAAGGTAGAGCTGTTTTATTGTTCACTCTCTGTGGAACAGAAGGATTTATTCGAAGGGTTTCAGTGGGAGAGGAGGAGGGCGAAAGAGAGCCATGAAAGATTGCAAAATAGCCAAAGTTCACTCTATAGGTGTGTGAAGTTGTCGAACAAACAGTAGGCATGACCGGGAAACTTCCCTGAGGTTGATCCTTTCCAAAGAGTGTCGATGTGGCAAACAAGCATTTTCTCAACCTTCGTGCCTGCCTTTCTCATTCCTCCAATCTATCCTCAAACCGTGGCTTCTCACCAATTATAAAACTGGAAATGAAGGAATAAATAAAACGTTCTTTCTCATCCTTCCATCAGGGTTGCTCGTGAGCTACCTCGGGAAGCTTGAGGATCGCCGTCCAGACATTAAGTATGGTGTTGTGGAACTGGAACCACCCTAGGAGACATCTCCCCCTGAGCTCTGGACCCCTAGCACCCGGGGCTGCATCCGTGGGGAAGGCGTGCGCAGCCGCAGTCCTCCGCCTCCCTGCGGTGGCCCCGGGCGCACTCGGGTCCGCCTCCGGGGGCCGCAGAACACGGGCGCAGCGCCATCCCGGGTGCATTCTTTCCTTACCGGGCGTCTTTCCCGGGCTTGGGTCGGTGCAGTGTCCGCCCAGAAAGAGCGATGCAACCGAACCCAGAGAGTAGAAGAGGCCCCCGGAAGCCCCAGTGGGCACCCGGACCTGAAGAATCTCTTTCTGCTGCGGGTTACTCCACTAGAGAGGGGGACAGCAAATACACTGCTGGCCCCTTCTTCCCAGAGTCCCTCCTACAATAATTCCAAGGATAAAAAAAGACACTGTTGGAAAGGGCTTCATGTTGAAGGTGGTCAAGCCCATCTGTCTTCTTGTAGTATTTGTTCCTTAAAGTAAAACCCTCGTTCACCGCACCCAGCACGCTTCGGCTCAGAGACCACAGGGTCCCCCTCCATCTGCAACGCATTGGGAGTTTTGGCACCATACACACAAACCCAAACAGAAGTAAGTATTAAGGACAGTTGGATGTGTAACTCTGCCAAGGCTGATTAGCTATTTTGGCTCAGCGCTTGCTCAGTAGTAAAAGAAATAGAAGGCATCTCGGTTTGGCAAGGTCACTGTAAAGTCCTTAATCTGCCGCTAGAGGCTGCTCTGAAGTCTTAATACGTGAGGGCTAAAGTAGCGAGAGACCTTCCCTCCCCACAGTCGTGAACTGGCAAAGTCTGGAGGTGGTTCTAGTTGCAATTTTTGCACGGAGAGCCTTTTGTTTTTCCTTTCTTTCTTCCCATCCCCTCCCTCCCTCCCTC